ATGTATGTATGTATGTATGTATGTATGTATGTATGTATGTATGTTTATTTGTTTGTTTGTTTGTTTGTTTTTTTGTTTGTTTGTTTGTATGCATGTATGTATGAATGAATGTATATAAGATTATGGGTAGCCCATGTTCACCCGAAACAAGGGAGGATGTTTCGTCGACTGTATCAACTTGAGTGTGCATTAAAGCAAAGTAATGAAGCGACTACTCCGTCTATTCGGGCCACCCTTCTCACCCTCTCCTCGATACCCTTTCCCTCCACATCGCCGGCTTGTTGGTTCTCTGGTGGCAGCCGCATCAGGTCCCTCGATTCGGCCGCCTCCGGGGCTCCTGACTCGGCCAGTCTGTCGGTGGGCAAAGCGTCAGTTGGCCGTCAGTCCGTCTCGAACAACGGACCCTTGCGCCGAGGCGGTTCCAGCGGTCTTCGGCTACCGCCACTCGCGAAACCACTGCTCACTTGTTCGTCGGCCAATTGTTCCACACGCTCTTGCCAAACTTGCCTCAGTTCGCCTCTTCCCGCCGCCTTCGGCTCGACATCGTCAACGCTGAAACAGCACATTCTGTTGATACGACGTCCCACCCCAGAAGCCGTCCCCGTTGGCCGAATTCACACCGGCCAACCACCAGCCAGCGTCGGCTTCCTCCATCCTTCCGGTGTCATGGCGACTGTGGAGCCGACCAGTGATGGCATCACGACCGATCGGCATCACTTGTCGCAACCATCGATTGGCTCACCCAACTCGGCCGATTCTCGAGTTGGTCGTCTCGAGGCGGCAACTCGAGGCATGGATACAGTTGTCGGGGCGACCTGTCGTGAGGACGAATTTGAATGCATTCCTCCACCGCCAGGCTTCGAGACGGTTGGATAGGGCCGTCTGCCTGAACCCTTGCCACTTCAGACACTTGCTCAAAATGGGCACAAGTCAAAGGTCAAGTTGCCTCATCTATCGAGTCTTTCGATGGCCACTCTCTTGTCACTGAGCCTCATCAGTGCCAAGACGCCTCAGCATCGCCTTTGTGCCTTTCGCGACAGAAACACCTTGTTTCCATCTTTATTCTCATTTTTTTTGTTTCCCCCTCTTCGAGCCGACTCCCTTTTTCACTGTCTCCATGGCTTCCTCGCTGTTCTGCCCTCCTTCATGCGCCATATTCTTCCCATTCTGTCGCCGACGGCTCGAGGCTCACAACACTCGCACGATCGCTGGTGATCTCTCTGTCTGATCGGGATCACGCATGCCATCACACCCTCTGCTCACAACCCAACACCACGTTGTAAATACCTTTTCCAGTTGGTAGAAAGCAGCTGAACGAAACCGTTCTGAAGCATGTTCAGTCGACCTATTTACATGAAGTTAACCACTTGTGATACTCGTTGCAAATGCCAATTTCCAGGAAAAATATCGTCTTTTTCATCAACTCCTCCATTTGACCGTAGTCACCTGCTTGGCTTCGTCAGTGACGTCTATTTTGTCTTATTCACTTTCGTCTTGTTCACAGAAAAACCACCACTGCAAGGTCCATTGATAGTCCGAATGCACCTCGAAATGGCTTTAGCTTTCGGATTATTTTAGGGCTTGGAGTCACGGCTTATCATAGCCCCAACTTTTGCCAGCTCGGCGCGATGCCGGAAAATTAGCCAAATTTGACCCAAATTTATCCAATCAACCAACCAAATGCGATATTGACGTTGTTTGACCTTGTTTTCACAAAATGGTCATATTGGTAGGAAGACTTAGTGGAACGCACCTAGTCCGGAGTCTTTGTCTGCATGATCATTTCCAAAGTTGAACCGTGGACGTGGTAATTCCCAAACGTTTCGCCGGCATCGTCAGTGAGTATCGCCATTCTTAGCACCATACAACAACTCGTCAAAGAGACAAGTGAAGCCGGCGTAACGTTTGGGAATGTACCACTTCCACGGTTCAACTTTGGAAATGATCATGCAGACAATAGACTCCGGACTAGTTACGTTCCCCTAAGTCTTCCTACCAATATGACCAAGTTGCGAAAACAAGGTCAAACAACCTCTATACAACGAACGGAGACTGCGACCACACAAAAGACCACACCATCTTGGTCTTCATACCTTCAAATGCGATATTTATTATGAATACCAAAAGAGTGAGGCGTTTGGTTCGATTGCATTCTCCTTATGCTGTATAAATTTGGCTTCACCTCATTTTCGCGACTTGATCGTAGGGCTAAGGAAATGTCAAAGAACGTACCAGCTCCTGCTTCCTCTGCTCATTTTCAGATTCGGATGAGGACTTGATACATTCTTGGTTGTTTCTTTGGCCTTGTCTAAGCGAAACGTCATTCATAGAAATGCACTAGAATACGAGAAGTGAATAATTCTCCGCTACACGATTGAGCGGAAAAAAGGATAAGTGAAGCGATAGCTCTCCAAACTAACGGCTTCAACGGAATCTAAAACTAAGGACTACAGGGAATTGGTGAAAATGAAATGGAGGTGGAAGAATGTGATTCTTAATTTGAGTGGTTTACGAGAATTTTGCAGAATTATTGTTAATAAAGCAAGCTTGCATTTTCCCATACATCTATAAAAGTAATCATTACCTGCTGAAATGTAGCTATCAATCCTACATATTTCAGACATTGGTATGTTTTTAGGCCATTAATAATTATTTACTTAGAAGTATGCCTGGGAAGCTTGCAGAAAATGTAATTAACAATTCTGTGAGGTGTATTCACTCTATTTCGTTTAGAGTGATGAAGGGCTGTTAGTTGATAAAGCCCATGCAAGGTCGAAACTGCAGTCCACACTGGATGAGGACAAATTTTGGAAAAGCGAGGCTCTGTGAAATTCAATGAAAGCTTCAACTCTACTCATTTAATTGTGGGAAAATTTAACTATCAGTTCTTCATCATCTTAAACGAAATAGGTTGAATACATCTCATATAACTGATTAACTGGCCGTTTCGAAACCCTACTTATAAGCGAAAAATTAATTATCAGTGCTTCATCACGCCAAATGAAATAGGGTGAATTCAGTTGTTTTGCATGACCTATGGTTAATCTCTAAAGGTACTTAAAACGAAAATAGCTTAGGGTAGTTTCAGTGATCACGATATAATTTTACCATTTTGAAATGTGTAGACCTCACAATCCCATTTAATTTTACTTCACTGTGCCTCCAAAATATGAGCCTTAG